GACTTTCAGCTTCATTCATGTCGTAGAGACTCATCCTGACACTGACCTCAGTCACTGCAGCTGTCCCTCAGAAAGCCTTTAGAAGCTGTGACGACTGAACACAATAACCTCACACTGATGGTTTCAAACCCAGATTTGTCCCCACAGTAGTGGCCAGTATAAATTGCAAAAGGTTTTGTACAACAGATCCAATAATTCCCTCTTACCATGTTGAGACTTTTATTTTGAAGGTAATCCAAATCGTAGGGCCCAGGCTGCTCCTCCGGGACACTGAAGTTAAGGTCTGTCCTTGTCCCACCTGGACCAAGGACAGACCCTTTGCTGAAGGGAGAGTCTGGCCAGCACCTGGAACACACAGACAAACAGAGTGTTTAAGGATTTTCAGCTTTCATTAAAAGATAAATCACAGAACAGATTCCAACACACCAACAGCTTCATGACAAACTCTTACCACTGAGTCCTCAATTCCAACCAAAGAGCTGGATGTTGGTCTGAGCCATCAACCTGGGGCCGGCCAGCACTGCCTCTCTGATGCCACATGATCCTGGAGAATGAATGACCACCGAGTCCTCACGGTCCCTCTGGACCACGTGGCCACCGGGTGAAGACGCAGAGCTGGTTGCAAACGGCCTCCACCAGGCAGCTAACACTGGCCCAGTTAGCAGGGCCCGAGTTCAGTCCAAGAAGACATCTGAAAGATAATCAGAGAGCAGTGTGTGTTAATATAGATCTGATATTCATTAGAGGAAACAGTGATATCTGAAGTGACTCTCACCTCTGGAGACTCTCCTTCCCAGGACAGGAAGTGTTCTTGTGGAAAACAAGATAAAACTGAATTGGAAGATACAAGCTAAAAAACAACAGACCACCCCCCCTCAGCTCCACAGCCCCCCCTCTTTCAGAGGTGACATCATCACCTCCTCATTATAGGAACCTTAACAGGCAAGATAGACCAATGGAGAAATGCCAGTTTTAGTTCTTCAGATCATCCCGGGGCTCTGAAGAACTATTTGTGAATAATTGGTTGATATTGTAAATTTACATCTGAATATATTAAATAAAAGTGTTATAAAGTCAATAGTGGTGCGTATGTTATTTGTAATTAAGTTTCCAACCCCACTTTAGTTGAAAGACTACATACAGAGACTTAACAGTTTAATTTGCATTTCTTCAGTTTATTATATTTTATGAGAAATGTAAGAAAATTGATCTGAATCTGAATCAGTAAATATTGTATTTAGATTGAGCTTCTACAGGTTTTAACATTACTTTACACTTAAAGATTCAATGTTGACACAAATACTGCAAGTTGAAGTTTGAGATGATTTTAATCTGTTTTACACAGTATTTTTTACTTTGTCTTCCAAAACAAAAGGTTTACTTTACAATATGAAGCTTGTGTTAATATTTCATTGATTGACACTTAATTTTATTATTAGGAAAAAGTTTCTCTGCAGAAACTTTAGTGGCGTCACTTTATTAAAGGAGTTTGATCATAATAAATCAGGAGAAATCTGTAAAATAACAGTTTTTCTCTGTAGAAATATTAATGAAACTTTCTGTAAATGTATTGTTTTTACACTTTATTTGAATTAGGATATTTTACTTTAATTTTACGGTTTTTGTTTGGCAGCTGTTGCTGACAGACATTTGAATGTTTTTGTAATTTTTTTTTTTAGAGTGTGCACACTGTAAAACCACAGCTGGAGACACTAAAGAGCCGCAGAGAGAGACACAGACATCATGTGAACGACTGCAGTGTGTATGTGTGCACAAAGATTCAATTAAAGTGATAACGATTGGTTTATTAATTGATTAGAAAAATAATCTGCAACTCTCTTCATGACCAACTAAGTGATTTTCAAACAATGATGCAAAAAGTTGCTTAGAATTAAAATATAAAGACTTTATGTTTTTCTCTATTTTAGATTTTTATCAACTGAATATTTAATGTTTAATAATGTTTTTGACTTTGGAAAACTGTCATTGTCGGTTTTGACAATATTTTCTGACATTTTAACAAAATAATAAACAGATTAATCAATTACTTGATATTGAAAATAATCAATAGTTGCAGTCCAAAGAAAATAATTACAAAGATTAAGCAAAAGTTCAGAAATGTGACGTGTTTTCAGGTGCAACATGACACTAGTCAGGATTAGGAAACTGAGAATTAAAGGGTTTCAATTATTATTTAAAAATAAAACACATTTCTCACTTTCCTCTGGTGGTTTATGATCATGCTGATATTTGTGTTCAGGTTCGAGATGATGGAATTTAGTATCTTTAAAGTTTTTAAAACTTTAATTGTAGACAGTTTCCATTAAAAACACTTTATTGTGAAAATACTGTGCACCAACTGTTTGTGACTGTTTAAAGCAGAATTTGTTGGTTTTATTATTTTTCACTCATTTATAAAATAATAAGCAAACATCAGGAGAGAGCATATAACACTGCATAGGATTATTTCATTTGTAGTATTATTGATTAAGATTTTATATAATGATGCTCAATCTATCTCTTTATATTTTACATCAAGTACATTTAACTTTAGTTAACTTTAGTTGCCATTTTAAGTTGGAATGACTTCATATAATGAAGTAAACAAAACTCAGTTTTAATCAAACTTAACAATATAAAGTCAACATAACTTAAAACTAATAGTTATATTTACTTTGTTTTTTCAAGGGAATTGGTTTCCTAGATTTTTTAAAAGTAAGATCATCTTGTCACATTTTACAGTGTATGAATATGATTAAATGTCTAAGTGACAGAAAATACATTTTTACCTTTATTCTTACTTCAGGAGGAAATATTCAACTTTTTACTGCAGCACATTTATCTGTCAGCTGTAGTTACTTTTCAAATTAAGATTGTACATTTAAAAACATCATAAGTCTGTAAAATACAATTCAAACTCAAATGTAATTGTGTAGCAGCATCTCATACAAAAACAGTTCAAAGTGTTTTTCATAAAAACAGAAAAAACAGCAAAAATATGCTTGTACACAGAAACGTGTATAGATACACTGTGTTCATTTAAGAAGAAGCTCAGCTGAAAAGAAAAGTATTTAGTTCAAGTCTGAGGCCAAAAGAGGTCAAATAATCCAATGCTAAAAGTAGAGACACCACAGTGTCGAAATACTCTGTCAGAATAATATATGTCATATTGGAATATATTTATTGATGCATTAATATGTAAATCTCTGTAATGGTGCAGCTGGTAAAGGTGGAGCCAATTTTAATAACTTTACTGGGTAGTTTGTGAATTTCCCCCTTGGCAACAATAAAGTTTTATCTCAACCTGTAATAATCGTACATCTCAATTATCTTATCATTATATTTTGTATTATTCGTCTCAATCTGAAAAGTAACAAAGTAAAAGTTTATAAAATAAAAGTGGTTCAGTAAAAATGTAGTACAGTAGAAATATTGCAGTACAAATACAGTACAAGTACTACAGTAAACATGTACTTTCCACCTCTGACCTGCGAATGTTTCAGGTTTGTCAATATTAAGGCTTTTACTATGAAAAGCATTACGGAAGTATATATTTTGACAAGCGGAATTCGCGATGTTTACAGTATTACCGAATGTCTCCCGTTTTTCACGTTGAGGCTTTTACTTTGGAAAAAAAATATTACCGGAAGTGATTATTTTGAAAAGCGGAAGTCGCGATGTTTACATGATTAGCACTTCCGTTCGGTCTAAGCTAGGAGCTAACAGGCTAACGGGCAGCAGGTGGATGTTTTCCCGCTCAGGTTCAGCTGTTACCGGTGTCTTTATCGGGTTATTTAAACGTGTTCAGCCGTTAAACCGTTTATCTGACCTCCGTTGTCCGGTAACCGCCCCCCCCCTCCCCCGGAGCTCCCCCCGACCAGGTGTCATCGGGACGAGACGTTACTCCACAAACAGACAGATGCCCAGGAAAGAGAAAGCGGTGAGTTAGCGAAATATTATAGGACATAACCTATAGGATTATAAATTGGATTTTATCCTGTAGGATTGGTTCCAAAAATAGATTTTTTAACTGTAATTCTAAATGACTTTTTGACTAAGGAAAAGAACTACACACATAACACTTGTAAAAATAAAGCTATACAAACTGAAAGACACAGAATTAGTATTTTTACTTTTATTTACATATAATTTTATGTTTTAAAAAAAAAGTTTATATATATAAAGAAATATTTCAGATTTGCATTCAGAATTTTAAGTGTAACTATAACTTGATTAATTATTTCAGTGGACTTCATTGTTATATAAGTAAGTGCACAGACTCTGATGAATCTAGGTGGTTAGATCTAAATATAATGTGTGAGGTTTAATATTTTAGTAAACAAGGGATGAAATAAAATCCTCATGGAACATACTCATGGAGGTCTTTATTGTTTACTTGATATTCATCAGATATGTAGGAGGTTACCTGTAGAAGAATGATTCCCAACCTGTGGGTCGGGACCCACTGGTGGGCCGCAAAGATATTACAAGTGGACCGTCAAATCATTCACGAAACAGTAGGCAACAATTTTGGAGAAAATATGTAATTATAAAAAAACCCAATATAAACAATGTTTTTAAATATTTTAAAAGAAAATTATCTTTAAGAACATTAAAAGTGTTTAAAAACTCCTCATCATCACAACAATATACAAACGTAAATGTAAAATACAAAGTTACCCTGTTAGAAAATTAAATAAAGTTATAACAAAATTTTAAGGTAGAAGACACTTAAACCCTCCATAGTTTTGTACAAATGTGTCCTGTGGCAGGAAAATGAAGATCAGCTGAATTAATTTCAAAATAAAACCTGAAATGATCTGGAATATTGTAACTTATATATAAAAGGAACATGTTTATATCATAAAGTTGAACAGCTCAGAAGTAAATTTGAGCTCGAGGAAAATGTACTTGGCCAAAAAACTTGGCGGAGGCGGGGGGAGAAGTTTGCGGGGGGGGGGGGCAGTTGACTGAACTACCTGTAGATCAGTGATGTGTAGTCTCACCTTGCTCACCCTCTGTCCTGTTGAACCAGGTGAAGGCGCAGCAGGCTGCAGGTGGAGCAGCAGAGCCTGAAGCTCCTGGTCCGGTGGCTCGAGACAAAAGTGGCACCGTCACCATAACGGTGCACGCCAAGCCCGGCTCCAAACACAGCGGCATCACAGGTCACCTGCACTCACAGTTACACACAGACTCACCTTCACACTGTTATAAACTGAGAGATGACATTTCTTTTCTTCTTCTGCCACTCCTGTAGAAGTCTCTGCAGAGGCGGTGGGCGTCGCCATCGCAGCGCCTCCTACAGACGGAGAAGCCAACACTGAGCTCATTCGTTTCCTGGCTGAAGTCCTGGACCTGAAGAAAAGTCACGTGTCTCTTGACAAGGTTCCTGAAACTTATCAACTCATTATTTACTATTAAAACACCTTAACACCTTTGAGGTTGTTTTTGTCTCTTTGTCTCTTTGTGGTTGTTTTGTCTCACCTCCTTTATCCTGAACCCTCCTCGTCTTTATCTTGACTCCTTCTTTATCCTCACTTTTTTACTTTACCTTTTTTATTCTTACAGTTTTACCTTTCCTTCCTCATCTGTCCCTCCCATCCACTCTCTTCTTCATGCTACTTTCTTCCTCTATTCTTCCTCTTTTCCAACATTTATTCTGACTTGCTGAGCATCTTTCCCTCCTCCGTTTACCTCCTGTCTCCTGTCTCCTTCAGGGCTCCAGGTCCAGAGACAAACTCATCAGAGTGGACTCCTCCCTCGGCCCGGAGGAGGTGTTGAGGAGGCTCAGACAGGCTGCCGGCTGACAGGAGGCACAGACGACCTGTGACGTAAAACTTTGTTAACAGAACAAGGTGAGAAAGTTGTTTTATTATAGAACGTGCAGTTACTGGCTGTTCATGAAAAAACAAAGCAGCTGTTATCAGTGTTAATGTTTACGTGAGTTCACTGAACCTATCACACTTTGACAGCTGGTCCAGTATGACTGCTGGGAAACCTGAGGCACCAAAACATCACCATGGAAACGGACCGTTTGCACCAACCAGCCACCAGTGTACAGGAGGTGTGTCCACCCTGGACGCTCTGGACGGAGACAGGAAGTGATGTTTAGATGTTGGAATAAAGTGAATCATGAGAAATTGTAACGTGATTAAATGAAGTGTTGAGTTTTAATAAACAGATTAATACCTGGACGTTTCCCTCCATCATATTTGATGTGGAACAAAGGATCTCACACAGATGTCATGTGACCAGAGGATCTGATGGTGTGTGTGCCCCGCGGTGAGCAGCAGGTGGCGCTGTGTCACTGTTAATGTCCGTCAGCAGCTTCACTCACTGGTTCATGTGAGGGAGCCCTGAACACACTCATGGAGGTCTTTATTATTTACTTCATATTCATCAGATATGTGGGAGGTTACCTGTACCTGTACCTGTTACCTGGTGGGCCGTCAAATCATTCACAAAACTAGCGAAAAGATGTAATTATAAAAAAATAAATAAAAATATAAACAATGTTTTTAAATGTTTTAAAACAAAATGATCTTTAAGAACATTAAAACGTCTCAGTCTGACAGCAGCTAAAATATTTCATCCATGAGAAAAAACCATGAGAATGAAAATGCAGCTGGTTAACAACAGGAAGAGTTTAAAGGTGGTGAACGGACAGGTGACCTCTACCTGTCAAAAAAGAAAGAATGTTCAGTTATCTCTAAAATAAAAAGTGCTGTGAGAACGTATTATTTATCCTCCGTGGACATGAGGTGGAGAAGGTTGAGAACTGCTGCGGAGGAATATTTCGGGGATCGTGTGTGAGCTGCACCGGATGTGTTGAACGTTTCCTTTGTCTGAAATCTTTTTTAAGGCTTATTAAATGTTGTTCACGAGCCAGCGGTCTTCTTCACTGCCTCTGCTGCTGTGAGTCTTTGCAGCATTGAGGGGTAAGGTGTGAGTAAAGGTGTGTGTCACGTTGAGACGCTCCACAGCTTCACTTCAGATCATTTACTGAAGAACTAATGAAGATGAGAATCCTCCAGTTTGAGAACGTAGAACCAGGAAATGTTTGGAAACAGTTTTGTTCTTTTTGTTTGTTTTTTATTTTACAGTCAGAGCGGCAGCCATTTTGTTTTCAAGTTGTCCGTCCGTCTCGTTCTCACGGACACGATGTCTCAGTAACACCTTGACTGAACTTCTTAAAATTTGGCACGAAAATTCACTAGGACTCAAGGATGAACTGATTATTTATAGGTGGTCAAAGGTCAAAGGTCAATGTCAGGGTGACCTCACAAAAACACTTTTTAGTCATTACTCAAGATTTCACAGCAATGGTTCGTATTCTCTCTGACTCTGGATAAACAGGGATGTGACCTGGAACTAGTTTGAGTGGCGGAGGGATACGACCACGAGGAGGTGGCTCTAGTTTTCATTGAATCCCCTAGAAAACATCAGAAAATATAATATTATCAACTTGCATTTTTACCAAAACATTCAGTTTAAAATACTTTCAAACAGAAAAGTAGAAAATCCTCCAATTTCAGAAAGTAGAACCAGAAACATTTCCGTTGTTTTTTTACCTTTAACGAGTGATTGAACATCAGAGTTGATGTTGGTTCATTTTCCGTCGATACAAGTTTCAGCTTCACTGAAAATCTCAACATTGAGCTTTTTGTCCAGTGAGCAAAACAAGTGTGACTCATGTTCCTACGAGTTTCTCTTCTCGTATGAATTCAGAACGAAGTGGTTCGAGTGAAATCTGAGCTCATGGACTCACGTTCATCCCACTCAGGAGCCTGGACCATCAGGGCCACCGCAGCCACAGGCCATGTGAGTGCGGGTCCCCGGGGCCACGGCGTGAAGCACCAGCGTTTCCAGAGTCGTGATGGTGAACCCCAGACATCAGCACGTCTGAAGTCCCTGGAGAAACAGGGGGAAGGCTCATTAGCATCAGCCACAGAATCAGAGGATTGCAGTGAATTAGAGGAGCAGTAATGAGCTCGGTTTCTTCCAGTTAAAACTAAAAAGCTTCAAAGAGATGGAGGAGCTCCTCCGCTGGATCCTCAGCATCTGAGGCGACATCAAAGCCCGGACAGATAATGACTCTGTATCAAACATCACAGCTTTTACAAAGCTTCGTCCCCAAACTGCTGAGTTTTATTTTATATTCAAGTTTTCTGCAAACAAAGTTTCTGTGTGTCGGGGACCGTGAAGCAAGAGTAAAGTTTATTTTTCACTGTCACTGAGAACATTATATAAGAATTACCCCGGAGTTTGTTCTCAAGTTTGACCAAATCACACTTCACGTCTTCATGCTGGTTTTCTAACTGAAGTCGTTTCTCACGGCGTCTCCTCGGCTGAGCCTGGATCAGCAGCTTTACGTCTGCAGCTGAGTCCCAGCGAAGCTGCTGTCAGGCTGAAGGATGTTTGAGACGCCGTGCTAAGCCTCTGCCGGCTGGACGGACATCCTCCCTACTAAACTCCAGGGATTCATAAACATAAATCCTCTTCTCCTCCATGTTGGATCTCTGCGGTCAGTGTGTGAAGGGTTTAGTCTGCCACTTTAAATGAGTCACAGGTTGTTTTCTGTTGAATAGAATTACTAACGTGATGCTAACCCACATAAATGACACAGAGAGACCATGAAGGCATCGGGCCCCTGGAAATAGACATGTAGGACTCCTCCTACAGGAAGAGACACAGGAAGAGACACAAAACGACTGTGTCCCTTTGTGTTTTTCAGTCTGTTTGGGGTCATTCCATTAACTTTCCAACAAGAATGTCAACACGCTTTTGTGTCTTTGTGGCTTTTTTGTCTCTTTGTGGTTGTTTTGCATCTTTGTAGTTGTTTTTTGTCTCTTTGTGGTTGTTATACATCTTTGTAGTTGTTTTTTGTCTCTTTGTGGTTGTTTTGTGTCTCTTTGTGTTTTTTTGTGTCTCTTTGTGGTTGTTTTTGTCTCTTTGTGGTTGTTTTGTGTCTCTTTGTGTTTTTTTGTGTCTCTTTGTGGTTGTTTTGTGTCTCTTTGTGGTTTTTTTGTGTCTCTTTGTGGTTGTTTTTGTCTCTTTGTGGTTGTTTGTGTCTCTTTGTGGTTGTTTTGTGTCTCTTTGTGGTTTTTTTGTGTCTCTTTGTGGTTGTTTTTGTCTCTTTGTGGTTGTTTGTGTCTCTTTGTGGTTGTTTTGTGTCTCTTTGTGGTTGTTTTTGTCTCTTTGTGGTTGTTTTGTGTCTCTTTGTGGTTTTTTTGTGTCTCTTTGTGGTTGTTTTTGTCTCTTTGTGGTTGTTTTGTGTCTCTTTGTGGTTGTTTTTTGTCTCTTTTTTGGTTGTTTTGTGTCTCTTTGTGGTTGTTTTGCATCTTTGCAGTTGTTTTTGTCTGTTTGTGGTTGTTCTGCATCTTTATGGGGGCTTTACATCTCGTTTTGAGTCTGTATGTCATCATTCGAACTTTCGAACAAGAAATGTCAACAGTCACTTCAAACAGAGACACAGGCCCCGGGGCCCTCTGATCCTCTGGGCCCCTGGTAATCATGTGTGGCCTTTTGCAACACAAGATTGTACAATGAAATTCCAGATGTCCCTTTACTCACAAAAAGAAAAGTTGTATAAATGAATATAAACTATTGTCGTGGAGGAGGAGTTCAGTGATCTCACAGCCTGAGGAAAGAAACTGTTCAGTAATAATCAATAATTCATCCTTGCCTGTATATATTTTTGCATATACAGTGTTTCTAAGCCCTGCAGTATGGGACCATGTGACGCTGAAGGACTGCGTCCGGTCACATCAGTTAGCAGCAGCTAATTAGCGTCTGTACAGATGTGATAAGAGGAAGTTTCCTGCTTTGTGTCACTGTCATTGTGTCGTGGAGGAAGTTATTTGGTTTGATGGAGCCGGATTGCTGATTCCTTGAGAGGATTACAGAGAGACTGAGAAGATGGACGGATGATGGTGGAAACTTCAGACGTATTCTCTGGGATTTTAGAGATTATGTGGCTGAAATAGTCTCTGCTCAGCTCTGCCTCATTTGTTAGTCTTCATTTTGTTCCAGATAGTTTCAATATCAGAGTGATTCACACCCTCACACCACCGCAAAGAGACGAAAAAGAGCCATGGACATTAACTAAAAGCAACAAAGGAAGAACACCTGAGTCTGTTCGACCAATCACCTCCAGCTTTCACCACGCAGGAGAACTATGGGACGGTGCTGGCCCACTTATGGTACATCATTCATCAGACTATATCAGTGTGACAACTCACTGTTTTCTGATTTTTTATAAACCAAACAATCAGTGAATTCATTGAGAAAACTAGAATCACCTCCCCGTGGTCCAGGTAACAACCCTGTTTATTCAGAGTCATAAAACATTAAACCTTTCTTTGAAATTTTGTCGTAATTGCTGTGAAGTCTTGAATAATGGCTAAAAAGTGTTTTGTGAAGTCACACTGACCTTGACCTTTGACCTTCGACCACCAAAATCGAAACAATTCATCCTTGAGTCCTAGTTCCCTCCAGGTGTTCCTGAGATATCATGTCCACGATAATGGGACGGACGGACAACCTGAAAACAATATGGCTGCTGCTCTGACTGTCGCCAGCTTGGAAAAATCAGCAGATTAAATTTAGATAATAATAAAACACAACATGGCTGCTTATTCAAGTGACTCCTTATAAGTAATTAAAGCTGTTGGCTTGACGTGGAGTGAGTGGAAGCAGCAAGTCGGAGCTCGACAGAGGATCAAACACCCTCACAAGAAGAAGAAATGATCAAAAGATACAGAGCAGCAGATTCTCTCTGCAGTGAAAACCAACAGCTTTCATCCTCACTCTCACTGCAAGTCAGCAGCTTTTTGTGGGATGGAGAGGATGGGGAGGATGGGGCTGTGTGGGGTGTTTATGTGGACATTTCTTAATACTGATTCCGTAAAGAGACAATCACAGAGGAATCATGGCCAGGATCCAGGCGACGGGTTTTAAACCTCTTACCTCACTTCTGTCTGCAGGTTTATTTATATCAAACAGTCAGAGTCGCCCCCGGGAGCTGACATAACACACTGCTTTAATGCCCAGACCGTGTCCCTTGTTCAGGCTGCGTTCAGTGTGTGTGCCCAGTGTTAACTTCACATCAGCACAATGCTCTCACTCTCGCTCTAATGCCTCGCTGACAGCACCAGGATTTGGATGCTGCAGCTCTGACTCTGCAGGCGGATATTTACAACAACAATATGCTTGATATGTGGCTGTAAATAAAAAGTCTGGGATCATCATAAAGTTAAAAAAGAACAAAAAAAAAAAACCCCGACATCAAGAAAAATTCATTTTCACTGAGCATCCAGTTTCCTTTGGAACGCTGGCTGCAAAGGTCTGAGAGTGGTTAGAAGGAAGAGAAAGAAAAGATGGAAGGAAGGATCATTGATCAGGCACAAAGACACACAAAACAACCACAAAGAGACAAAACAACATCAAAGAGACACAAAACAACCACAAAGAGACGGAGAACAACCACAAAGAGACAAAACAACCACAACAAGACACAAAACAACCCTGAAGAGACGGAGAACAACCACAAAGAGACACAAAACAACCACAAAGAGAGGAAAACAACCACAAAGAGACTGAGAACAACCGCAAAGAGACACAAAACAACCACAAAGAGACACAAAACAACCGTGAGGAGACAGAGAACAACCACAAAGAGACGGAGAACAACCACAAAGAGACACAAAACAACCGGGAGGAGACAGAGAACAACCACAAAGAGACGGAGAACAACCGCAAAGAGACACAAAACACCCACAAAGAGACACAAAACAACCGTGAGGAGACAGAGAACAACCACAAAGAGACGGAGAACAACCGCAAAGAGACACAAAACACCCACAAAGAGACACAAAACAACCGTGAGGAGACAGAGAACAACCACAAAGAGACGGAGAACAACCGCAAAGAGACACAAAACACCCACAAAGAGACACAAAACAACCGTGAGGAGACAGAGAACAACCACAAAGAGACGGAGAACAACCGCAAAGAGACACAAAACAACCACAAAGAGACACAAAACAACCCTGAAGAGACAGAGAACAACCACAAAGAGACATAACAACCACAAAGAATCGGAGAACAACCTCAAAGAGACACACAACAACCCTGAAGAGACAGAGAACAACCACAAAGAGACATAACAACCACAAAGAGACATAACAACCACAAAGAGACATAACAACCACAAAGAATCGGAGAACAACCTCAAAGAGACACACAACAACCCTGAAGAGACGGAGAACAACCACAAAGAGACACAACAACCACAAACAGATGCAAAACCACCACAACAAGTGGACTCAAATCTTATCTCAAACAATCTTATATTAAACCATCTTGCCTTTTATGATCTTATATCACATGATCTAATCTTAAAAGATCTTGTTCCTACCCTCTGCTTCATTCTGCTGTGGAGCGTCCTGAACCTAAACCTTCACAGGCTCGATCTCCTGCATTAAGATAATGAATATAATGTTGTCAGGTCTCAGCAGGACGATGTGTCCTGTAGTGACCTGACAACAAACCTCCAAGCAGCTGTTTATTTACCATCAGAGGGACAGAGGATTTTAAGATACAGCTCCTCTCTGTGTCAGAAGGGTTTAAGTTGTGTTTATTTGAAGGGTTGGGACATTAATACCTTCATCCCTCCAAACTCATGTGAAGTATAAATAGAAGCACTGCAGGGTAGGAAATATATTCAAGTGTGTTATTTCCCCTTCACTTCATTAGAGTTAAATATGAAAAGGAAATTGGAAAATGCTCCAGCAGCCGTGGCTCTTTACACAAACTCATTCTGACAATTTGTCTCTGAAATATTCTGGTCGTTTTCAGGCAGGAGGACGTTTATCAAACCAAATCACTTCATCCATCACAAATCAGTGAGTGTCAGGAGGGACTGAGGCCATGTCTGTACTGTAGGTTTCACCAGATTCATCCTGTTTTCTGCTCGATTTTCCCCCGACAGCTCAGTTAATGAAAACATGTTGGACCACAATAAATCTGAACTATGTTTGAAGTGTATTTCTGAGGTTGTGTGTTTGGACTTGGAAATACTGTATTGGAACTAGAATTACCTCCTCCGCAACTCAGTTTCAGGTCACATCCCTGTTCATCCAGAGTCATATAGAATATTAACAATTTGTGTGGCATTTTGTCATAATTGGTGTGTGAAGTCTTGAGTAATGGCAGTGTATTGTGACGTCTAATCAGTTCATCCTTGAGTCCAAGTGAATATTTGTGCCAAATTTAAAGAAGTTCCGTCAAGGCGTTGCTGAGATATTATATTCACAAGGCCAAAACCGTGGTTTGTGAGGTCACTACAACCTTAACCTTTGACTCACCAAAATCTAATCAGGTCATCCTTGAGTTCTAGTGAATATTTGTGCCAAATTTGAAGAAGTTACGTAAAAGCCGTTACTGAGATATCCTGTCAACGAGAATGCGACGAACAGACAACCTGAAAACAAAATGGCGCCAGTTCTTATGTCGTGGCGCGGAGGACTTAAAATTAAATCAATCAAAAGGCAATAAAGTGAAGAAGTCTGAATACTTTCTTTCTTAAATGCAGTATTTCTAGAGTATTTGTACTTTAACTTAAAGAAAAGGATTTGAGAACATGTTACAGTTTAATTTCTTTTTTAATTAAGAGGGAAAACGTTGTTGTTTATATGACGCAGCCGCTTCACGTTTAATGAAGAACTCCGTCCATCCAGCTGAGGTCATTAGGGGATAGTGACGTCATCCGGAGGCTGAAGGAGGCGGGGCGTTTCGTCCAAACATCCCGCGCGGTGGCGGGCAGCTCGTGAGAGGAACACCTGGAGGAGAGGTGAACAGCAGCTCGCGGAACGCGGTACGTGGAACTTTTTTTCCCTCCTCCGCTTTGTTTTCGGCACCATGTGGGCGCGAGCTGTGCTGTGCGCGGCGCTGCTGTCCGCGCTCTGCCCGGCGGGAAGGACGGAAGCCGAGAGGGACGAGAGAGAGGTCCAGGACTACCGGTACAACTCAAACAGACTGGTGGGTCTGACTCTGAGTTTCTATTTATTACTTAAATTATTTCATATTTCTTACTTTTTATCTTTAGCTTTTATTATTCCGTTTTTAATTCATGATTATTTAAATAGAATAAATAAAATATATGTGGCATATGTTCAAACTATGTCTCTGCAGGAAATAACTGTAATAATAATAATAATGAATTGAATATTATTACTGATGCATTAACACGCCTTATGAAAATGTTATATGTACATATATCAAATCACCATATATGTTCATATAAAATAAAAACAAAAATGTAAAACTTATAAATTTAACCTATTAGTAATTGGAACTATTTCATATATTGACATATATGTCTATCCCATAGAAATATGTATGTTTATGTATGTATGATTGTATTGTGAGATATGTTACATAAATATATCCATCCCATACACTGTCAGTATATGTTGATGTTATAAATAGTGACAGACATGTTTCAGATTAATGAGAAATTAATGAGAAAAAACATTTTTATCTGTATGTTGTTTTAATAAACGTGCATATATATAAATTAAATATATACTGTTAACATATATGGTCACAACATGTTATATTATATAAAAAAATCATCATATAGATATTTTTAATATATGTAAATGTTTTACTGTGGGTATCCTATATATGTTATAAACTTGTATCTTCATATATCCGGAGGATGCATATATTATGTGATAATAGTATAAGTGACGTCACTCTCCATATAGGCACATATGTCGCAGCTGATTTTTACAAGTGTATATAATGTTAGATGTTTTCATTCACTGTAGAAGAATAAATGCTTGTTATAGGTTTTTAAATCTTTAGAGTAACTGTTCAATAAATGTTGACTTATAAAGAAGCAGAAAATTCAAATATAAAATTAAAAACACGAATCAACAGCAGCACAAACTGAAACTGGTTTCAGCTGGGTGTTCCTAATAATGTGGACACTGAGTGTAATTGATCATAGTGTCTGTATGTGATGCAGTGATGATGTCGAGGACACATCTGACTAATTTAACTTTTGGGTTGATGAAGAGTTTGTAAAAATGTGACGACACATATTAAGTGAAACTGAGAAGTGGGTGGTCGGTGACGTGCAGCTCAGTGAAGATGAAAATGATTTTCTGATTATAGGCTTTAAATTGATCGAATTGATCCTCTGACTTCTCACCTGTCAGCTTTATGTCTGACGTGTTTTGTGTTGTTTCTTCCTGCAGCTCGGCGCTCTGCATGAAGTGCTGGAGAAGCTGCAGACGAAGAGGATTAATCCCTGGGAGAAGAAGTATGGACAGGTCCCCTCTGTGAGTCAGACACTGTGGAGACACGTGGATTAAAGTCATTTATGACACATTCAAAGAGAAAAAGTTTGAGGTTTGTTATGAAATAACATTAAAAATAATCACAGGATTCAAACTCTCTGAAGCTGCTCGTGAACGCATCACGGCTTTGTGTTGAAGCAGCTGATTTTTATCTCATGATTTGTTCATTTATCTTTGAACATATTTAAAAAATGACATTGTTGTCAAACTATTTAAACTAAAGTATTTAGTTTCTTAAAGGCACAGTCTGATTCACAGCTGAATAAACAGTGAGCTGCTGTAACACAGTAACGTTCAGTGATGCTGTTGTTTGTATCGTGTTCTCTTATATTTATGTATATTACCACGAGTGTAGTACTTTTACTTGTTTATAAGTACTGGAGCGCACCTATGATGCGTTCCCATGGCAACAAGTTTACATACATTAGTCAACTATAACTGACCACACGATCAAATGTTAGACTGACTTTATGTTGCAACTCATTTATTTACAAAAACAACAGGTTACACTGATACTGACATCATGTCCATATCCTGTTAAATGACATATATATATATTATATAATTTTATATATTGTATTCTGTAAATAAGTGAGTTGCAACACGACTTTGTTAGATCCCAACACTGATGGATTCTATTAATAATAAGATATAAAGGATTATTATTATTATATTAGTATTATTTTGTAATTATGTGATACTTCATATAAAGAATCAAGAATAAAACTAAATTCAGCAAATTCAACTTAAAGTTCAACAGTCAGTTTATCAGTTATTTTAAAAAAGAAAATCTTTGAAAACCTCTCCACCTGCAGCTACTGGCAACTTTTAAGGTGGAATGTTTTCTTTTGTGTCGACAGCATGAATCATCACAGGGCTTCAGGGCAGAGCAGCTGTATTAATTAGACTGTACAGGTGTACCTAATAAAGTGGACAGAGTACACAGGAGTCTATGTAGTTTATATTTAAATGTTATTTAAATATCAGTCAGGTGCTCTGCTGCAGTGACGTCTGTTTGACACAAGGTGGCGACACAAAATGAAGTGAAAAATACTTTGAATTCTTCAGTTACAATCTATATTAGTGCTTTAACATCACCGATGCATCTACATGTGATCACCATTATATTTTATGATCATGTGGTTTGAATGTGTGGGGGAGCAGTGATGTCACAGGAAAAGTGTTTCCTTCATTTCATATTTTAATAGACGTTAAAAACAGGAAAGAGAATTTATAAATGAACGATCAATAAATACCAAAGGTTTAAAAATGGATTCACAAAAACATTAATTCAGCAGATTTCAGATAAACAGCGCAGTAAAAACAACATTTCCCTCTGAGATGCAGCAGTTAAAATATGAAGTGAAATTAAATATTAACAGGTGTAAAGTTCCTCAGAACAGAACAGAACAAAACAGAGTAGAGTAGAACAGAGTAGAATATAATAGATTAGAATAGAAAGCCTTTATTGTAATTAAAAATACAACGAATGAATCCTGACTGGTCCATGTAAGTTAAAAAGAAAACATTGCACACAATAAATCACAGTTAAAAACCTGGTATTAAAAAGCAGCATATACTCACAGCTCCGGGTTTCCCAGTTGTTCTAGATGAGACAGTCGTGTTGTGTTTGAGTACAGTGTGTAAATGTGGCTCTTCTCGTCCACAGTGCGACCTCGGGGAACACTGCGCCGTCAGGAAAGGATCTCGTATCGGAAAGATGTGCGACTGCCCCCGAGGAGCTTTCTGTAACTTCTTCCTGCTGAAGTGCTTATGAGCCAATCACATCCACACAGCGAGAGTATATTTTAAAAATAATGTATATTTTCCAAATATAAATATATATGAAAATCTTTGTGATGTAAAGTAGCCTTTAGAGTGGAATAAATCCTTAAAGTGAAGACAATCTTTTTGTCCACTTGTGTTGCATTAAAGGTGTTTTATCTTCTTTTCTCCATTTGTCTCGCTGCTTTTTGAAGCTTCGTTGTGGCTGAAAACAGTGACACGTTTGTTTGTTTATATATAAATTAATTGACAATAAGAGTTTGAGTTTTAATGACCTTTAATATTTACATTTTTCTGAATGTTTCATCCAGGTTCAGTCTTTTCTTTGATTCCTACAAGCTGCTAAAAACTGTGGTGAAGTTAGTTCAGGGTCATCAGGAAACTGGAGTTTCTCAACCACTGAACCATTTCACATTTAGCCTCGTCAGCATCGACCCCGAGCCTCAGAGCATGTTGTTGTTGTAGCGCCCTCTTCAGGACAGAGACTCGTCTGCAGCCTGACGGATGAACTGTGTGACTGTATGTGACTGAGTCCAGGTTTTAGTAAAGACCCGCGTCCACAACAAAAAACTAACTTTTTAGATTTATGAACTTTATTTTTTGGAAAAGCTCCGTTTGAGAGAAAAATGTTTCAGTGTGGATTAAAATATATTTACACATTTAACTGTTAGAGTCAATGTTTATTGTAAATTCTATTTTAACAAATTTCATAATTTATTGAACGGATGTAAATCCTTCTAGTTTATGATTTGAATTGAAATTTAAGTAATTACTTTGGATTTATTTTGTATTGTGACGAGTCAGATGATCAGCTGATAGGAGGCGGGACTGAGTTCGGTCTTTAGTTTTCAGCAAACATGTTGGAAACGTGAGACGGGGAATCGGTTCAGTCTGACTTTAGACTAGAATAATAAATATACAATAATAATGAATCAGCCAAATGAGTCGGTGAGTGAGTGGAGAAGCGGCGCCCTGTCCAGGTGACACGGATTTAAAGTAGTTGAGGGAACAGGTGAGTGACCACAGGAAGTTTAAATCTTCACACTGCTGTTCATTCATTCACCCGTCTCCTGCCTCGTTAGCTGCCCTCACTCTTCATTGTCACGTTAATATGAATCACTAATATATTATAGCATATTGAATGATTACAGCTAAATTACCATCACACTACCTAGTAATTATTATAAACACGTCAAATATATACGCTTCATAATATCTGTACGTTTGCCTATTGATATATTTGTTTTTTGGCTCGTCACAATATTTCACCAATAAAATAAAAGTTCTCTAAACGGTGAAACACCTTCATTCCTTCAGAGTAAAGGTGAATAAAAAGCATCAACAGGTAGAAAACACGTGATGTGACTGATCATTTAAGAATTTAAACTTCTGGTTGTTTCTACGTGTGAAGAAGCTTCTGAGCTCGATGGTGAAATCTCTTTCAAGTCAGTAACAACATTATCACCTGTGTGAGAAACAAATCCAAACAACTAACAGCTGTTTTTCATTTTCCTCCACATTTATTCAGACATGTTCCCCCGTCTTTCTCTACATCAGTGAAGAAAAGAAAAGATAATTTAACAGCGGTGGAGCTTCGAGGGTAGAAACATGTGAAACCGAGACGTCCACAAATCACCAGTCCTGCACAGCAGAGTGTTTTTGTCCCAACGGGTTTTTATTAGGAAGATACTTTACAGACGTCTAGACTCCTCGGGGCTGCTTGAAGTTCATGCCGACGGTGGGCTGGGTCACCTGCAGGTTGGACAGACTGCCGAAGTCCTGGAGGACAGGGGAGAAACTGGTCTGAGAACTGGTGTGGACCAACATGAACAATGAGGAAAGTGCAGGTTTCAGAGATAAAAGCTGTCTGAGAGCGCCAGGGTCTGACAGGAACTGATCGTCCTACAAACACGGGAAAGGCTCGCAGCTTTATCTCCCTGTACTATCAATGACCTGGCGACAGGGACGCCATGATCACTTTCGATACAGGGTTCATGTTTGCAGAGTTTTACATCACATCATTAATTTAAGCTTTAGCTCTGTATCAGGACGTCAGATGCTGATTAAAAGTCGAGTTAATTTAAATCAGTTCTTCGTTATCAGATAGAATGTAAACCGACAATTCTCTATTTCAATAAATTATAACTCCATTTCTCACAATCTTAAAGTTTAATGAAGAAAAATAAAGACAAGTGTTTAAAGAAGAAACCATTTTAGCATTTTAAACTTTAATCTAATTAATAACTAAGGATGTCGTTTTAAGTTTAACTATTCATTTAGTCGAGAGTTTTTATAATATATATTTTAAAATGACTGAACAGGTTTGATTCTTGATCTGAAAACGTTGAAACACTAGTGATGTATGATGAGACGTCAAGATCCAAGTCAGTGTCAGAAACAGCTGAGCTTTTCTGGTGAAGCGCGTATCGCTTTTGTTTGCTGTTTGATTTATGGAGCGACGGCGACATTAGACCTGAGAGAAGTGATTCATTCTACAGTTTCAGGTTCATAACACCGACTGCTTTTATTTGAGATGGATCCACAGAGAAACTACAACTACAGTTTGATCTCATTTCTCATAATAAAGTTCCAGATTAATGGTGCAACATTAATGTAGATGCTTTAAGTAAAATATATTGTTGATTGTTTTTATAGCGGTTATTATAAAGCTCTGCTCAGAATACAGAGGATCAGTTTACACTGAGACGTGCCTGTAGGAGTTTCTCTTTCCTCCTGAAGCTTCAGAGTTTGTGACTCTTCAGACCATCAGTGGCCGGCGTCTTTAACGACCTCATTACTCTGAAGTGTTTCAGCTCATCAGATGAACTTTAGCTTCTGAAAAACTTTTTACAAAGAGCTCATCTTCAGGACGTTCAACTCTCGGCCTCAGGTGATGTGCGAGTTTCCGTCTGTTCATCGTTAAAGAGCTTGGGTCAGAGCCGAGGCTGTAACGTCATTATTAACGATTATCACTGAGGCCTCAGACGGAGCAGCTTCTCTCTGATCAGTGTTTTTACTTTCATCAAGTCGTTTCGTTTCTGTCTGCTGAGCTCAACGTTCCCTCTAATAAATATATGAACACACACAGACACCTGAGCACCAGCAGCCACACACTTCATTAAAATATTATTTATTTCTATAAAATCAGTTTGGTTTATATCAAGTTCTAGTTTCACCTGTTTATAAAGTTTACAATTAAAATCCGTCAAATTAAAAAATAATCGTCGTTTCGGAGCAAAAACCTTCCAGAGGTCTCAGGTTTCCTTCGACAGAGTTCCTGCTCCATTTTAAAAATCAAACCAATTAAATCTTGGTTCCTATAGAGATGTATAGACACTTACCAGCAGCTTCAGCATCTCCTTGGTGTCGGGATCAACTTCAATCAGCTCCTGGTCCAGAGCAGACACCTGGACAGGTGAGAGCACAGAGACGAGTCAGACAGTCACCCTCTCACAGACGTTTCATTACAAAGACATTTTCTATTAAAGCGTAGTTTGACCTCAGGTGACCTCTGACAAAACAACCCGTGGAAGCGTGAGAACATGAAATCTGTTGAACTGAAGTCAAATTAAACAAAGTGTTTAAAAGCTCTTTGAACAGTAAACTCGTTATTGACATCTTTGTTTCATTTCTATTTTTATCCATTTTCTTTTTAATATTGAGCTTTTCTTCTTCAATGAAACATCTAAAACTCTAGTTTGTGAATCTAATGAAAAGTAATGAAACATTTGGAATAAATGAAAATTTAATTCTCTTTGAAACAAGAATTTTTTTTTTTTTTTTTTTTTTTTTTTTTACAAAATCTGGGAACGTTTTTATAAATCACTTCCATAACATCAAAATATCTGACGAGTTGAGACGGCGTCTTAGAGAGGACACAAAGGAAGGAACATTCAGTCCTTCTGAATCCGTCATTATTATCAGTTTAAATGTTATTTCATTTCTTTTTTATCTAATCCAGAGGAGTGTCATGTTTATTGCATCTGGCACTGATCAAGTTCAAACACTGCGAGTCGTTTCACACCCGCCTTCAGGATCAGAGTCGTCCTGGCGTTGTGTGTGTGTGGACATTAAAGATAATGAACTCTCTGTTCATCCTCATATTTTGACTTTTTAATCTTTAGTGTATTTCACTGTGTCTTTATCACCGTCATGTTTTCACAGAGGAATCACAACGAATGATTCCTGTTCCTGCTTCAACAGCTCATCTTTACTTTAATACGAGCATGTAACGTAACCCCCCACCCACCCACCAACCCACTCACACACACACACACACACACACACACACACACACACACACAGTGATGCATCACTAGGTTTGTCTGAGAGCGCCAGGGTCTGACAGGAACTGATCGTCCTACAAACACGGGAAAGGCTCGCAGCTTTATCTCCCTGTACTATCAATGACCTGGCGACAGGGACGCCATGATCACTTTCGATACAGGGTTCATGTTTGCAGAGTTTTACATCACATCATTAATTTAAGCTAAGAAGGAGAAGACGGAGACAGACAAACACACATGGACTAAAACAGACCAGAACCTCATCACAAAACAGAATCGCTTCTTATTCTGCCTCTAAACTAAAGGTGACACACAGGTCAGATGTAACCTGATTCCTCAGCTGACTACAGGACTGACAGTGACTCACTGACAACCATCACATCTGCAGAGCTGTAACAGCACCGGCCTCCATGTTGCCAACTTTATTTAAAAGCCACTTGTTGACAGGAAAACAGACCTGATCATTAACTACAAACGTTCCTCCATCAGCTCTGGACCATCAGACACCAGCTTCAAACATTACAGCTGCACCAACATCTGATCAGCGTCAAAGAAACTGAACCTCAAAACTTTCACTGGACTGTGGTGACGTGATTATTACCAGCAGTTTCGCCAGTTTAATGAACCTGTGTTTGTTTCTGGGTGAACATGTGGAGGACAGAACAACAAACAGCTTCTATCTGATCCTGATGAAACTCCACGCCTGAATCCACTCTGAGTTTGAACAGAGGTCTGATGAAACAAGTGATGCCTTCACTGACCTCTGGTACGTAGTTGTCCCTCCTCTCTCTCTCCTCCTCCTGCAGTTTGATGGAGATTCCTCTGACTGGACCTCTCTGGATCCTCTTCATCAGATGTGTCACATACCTGCAGGAGCAGCAGTCAACACACACACACACAAGTTAAAGCCACTGTCTGACGTGGATGTCGCTCCAACATCACAGAGGACGAGCATCAGCTGATTCTGGACTGTGAACACAAGCATGATTTAACTTCCTGGTCGTCTTTGACACTATAAAGGCTGATCTGCAGAAATGCAAAAACAAAAAGCAACAAGGACTGGGCAAAAGGTTTTTAGCTGCTACATTCACTGTCCTGAGCCCTGAGTCTGAAACTGACGTGCTGCAGTTGGCGGTCTTGCTCTGACCGTGTATCATGGTGAATTTAAGGTTTTCATCTGAGTCAGACTGAAAAACGACTCTGCTGCTAATGAGGTCACAATGTTTGTGCTGAAACCATTAAAGCAGGACGTGCAGTTTAGCTGAAGCAGCCTCAGAAAGGTGTTTCAAGCCATGTTTAACTGTAATGCATATTCAAACTGGATGTTTCAAACATGTTTTTAGTCTCACAGGTTGAAAAGAACAATCAGCGCCAAGCTTAGAGAAAATAGACGGATACTTTATTTTTCAGCCTTGTCACTCAGTCGCTTCGGAAAGTCGTGGGTTTAAACATTAAAGAGCAAGTTCAAAATTCTCTGTTGAGAAAGTGAAAAATACCGACTGATTTTAGAGCCACCATCATCTGTGAGGTCTGACTGAGAAACTTACCACCTGGTGCAGACAAGGTGACAAAGTGTTGATGGTAAAAGTTCATTTTTTCTGTGATGTCACTCGAATGTCTGAGAGCGCCAGGGTCTGACAGGAACTGATCATCCTTCAAACACGGGAAAGGCTCGCAGCTTTATCTCCCTGTACTATCAATGACCTGGCGACAGGGACGCCATGATCACTTTCGATACAGGGCAGCCGAAGAAGAAAAAAAAGATGGACTCACCCAGCGATCTTGTTGCGGAGCTTCTTGCTGGGGATGATGGCGATCTCCTCACACACCCTCTTGTTGGTGTGGAAGTCGTTTCCCAGCCGGGTGTAGTATTTCTCGATGATGACCCTGGCGGCCTTCTTCACCGTCTTGGTCCTGACTCGTCCCTGCAGACAGACCCCAGATCACACACACATTACAGTCATGATCTTACAGATATCAAGAGGTTCCCATGATCATAACTGGGAAGCATCGACGTTGTCTACCCAGCTTCAGTCGTGCGAGTAATCTCACTCTGATGATCCGGTAGACATGAACCTACCCGGTCATCGTTATTCTTACCGGACTATATTCACAGCCACAAAAACATACACATCGTCTCCACAGCGTGCTGTCTACAATTTATCATTCAGCTGAGACACCGGGAAATATCTTTAACGGTCGTTTCCCGCTGCTCGAGACGGTCACTAAACCGTCTGCACGCAGGCTCCGGGAGCTGCATTAGCGACCGAGTGGCTAACTCCCTGTTTAGCCACCACAGCTAACTCCCAGTGGCTGATAGTTGATTTAAATTTAACCGTTAAAACGAACAAAGTAAAAAAAAACAATGCACAACAGTATAAGTCTACAGCCCCCGTTAAATTAAACATGTAAAACTCGAGGGAAAACTGCGGCTCATTCAGCTACAAAACGGCTCCTCCGTTAGCATCACCCCAACGCGACAATATCGCAAATAAAACGCTACGTTTGGATCATCTAACGTCAATACAGCATGGATCCGGTAAAACATACTGTCCGGTGTCCGTTGAGGACAAAACCGGGCAATATGCACCGTTAAAACGCCAGGATTAGGTTTGATAGTTCAGGTGGACATGAAACATTTACCCACCATGTTGGATCGGCCTGGTAGAAGAGGACAAGCTAACTTCCGGTGGAAGTTTAAAGGCGCAGACGGAAGTTTAGAAGTGACGCACCGCGGTGACACTGCGACCCCCACCGGCAGGAGGTTTTAACTACAACAACAACCGCCGCTAGTTAGCTAGCTAGCAACGACAGACAGACAGATAGAGAGATAGATAGATAGATGGAGTAACAAACCAAGAAGACAGAACATCCTCACAGTTTGACACACTGTGCTGTCAGAGCATTTTATGTTAAAACTTTTTCTTTTCTTTTTTTTAAATGTTTGTGTTACAGTAATAAAATGATATTTCATGTTCACAGTTTTCACAGAATGAACCATACAGCTGACATACTGTCCACCAAAGTGCACGTCAAAAATACATGTAAACTAAAAAATAAGTTCAAAAAGATACTAATATATGTACTAAGCTCATTTGTCATTTGTTTTGGTGTCTCTGCTCACTGAATGCATGTGTTTCCTAGGACTCACTAAAGTGTGAATGCAGCTGATTTTTTATAAATATAAATTTCTGTTATTGTGTAATTGTTGGCCCTGACCACACTGGCCTAGATATAAGCTGCTGCGCCTGTTTTACTGGTGATGATGTGAACAAAAAAATCAAATCACCTGTCAATCACCTTGGTTGTGTATCTTAAATCTATCTTTAACTGTACTCTTTGATCTCTGTTGTATGAACACATGTCCACTTGTTTGTATGAATACATATCTTAATGTTTATTTAAATCGCTGAAAATTTCTATTTCTACTATTAATATTTATCTTTTATTTATTTTATTTTTCTGTTCTTAGGTCTCACTTGTAAATGAGATCTGGATCTCAATGTGACTTCCTGATTAAATACAGTATATGTATTACTGTCAAAAGTATTTCACGTCTCTGTTCTGGACATTAAGTTTTTCCAGAGTGAAGAAAAACTGAAATCAGACATAAAAGTGTTTATTCTGCAGAGAAATTATTTCTGAAATACATTCTGAGTGATTCTGGTCTTTATACAACAAATATCTCTGTGCTCGGAGGGCGAGGGTTCAATACATTCCTGGAGTGTCAGATTTATTACATCGGAGACTGAGGTGCAGGTTAACAGACTGTCTGGTTTCTCTCTGCTTCCTGCTTCAGTTCATTGCCATGAACGAACTTCCCTCATTTACAAAATGACAAAAACATCATTTTCACCTGAAGATTTTCAGTCAAACACACACACAGACTTGTTCCACTTCCCTGTGGGGACACTCATTGATATAATTCACTCCTGAGCCCCTTACCCCAACCTGAACCTGAACCTGATTCTAACCCTAAAACCAGGTCTTCACCCTCAAACAGTCTCAATTCACACACACACACACACACACACACACACACACACACACCAATTATTTCATTACATTCATGTGACTTATATTGTTTATCATGTAAAACCATAAGATCCACTCCAGCTTCAGCGGTTTACATTGACTGTAGTGGTGCATTTTTTACTAACTATAGATTTCACACTAGATTTCAAACTAGTTTTCTATTAAAGGAACAGTCCAACATTTTGTCTTAACAGTAAGTTCCCTACTTCACATACAAAAGCAGTAGTTTCAGCTTAAAGTGGTGCACTGTGTAGAAGAAGTGGTGTCTGTTACAGTGTGTTTCCTCTCACTGTCTCCATCACTCTGTGCTTTAAAGGACCAGTTGGACATTTTGGGAAATGGTCTTCATCTCCTTCCTGCAGAGTCAGACATTCACTCTCATGTCTGAGCGCGACCCTGTCTCCTAGAAATCACACGTTTGAACAGAGTGAACATTTTCCTGACCTGAGTCTCATAAAGCTTCAGATAAAGTGCCGACAAGTTACAACAACTCTGCTAAAACTACATGCACAATGCACACCACCACCACCCACCACACTGTTAGAATTAGATGTAAATTAAACCTATTTAACAGTATTTTTATCTACACGCATCATGAATCTAAACATTACAGTAAACTTACCCAGATAGTTTCTATTCGTTATTGTCTATCGCTCTAAAAATGCAGATAGCATCAGGCTGATGTGGCTGTGTTTTCTAAGTGTGCGAGAGGCAACAGCTGTTAGCTTTGTGCAGGAAATGTAGCTAAAAGTCTTAAAGGGAAACACGCTGAGGTGTAGAAATGTGGTCTTTACGGACTGAGCCTCTCTTTGGTGGCTGGTGTGTTCACGTGTGACATGAGATCAGGAGCCAGCTGCACAAAACACCTTCAGTTAAGATTTTCTTTGAAGTCCAAGTGAAGTTTTTCTTAAAATAAAAGCAGTCGCACAAAACACCCTTAAGTTTTCTCCTTGAGTATTTAAGGTTTTCTCCTTATCTTAGTCTTATACTTAAAGTCACTGAAACCGTTGCACAAAAGCCCTTAGTGACCAAACTAAGGAAAAAAGTAAAGGTTCCTCTGACTTTATTTGTCCGACCGTCTAGAGTTGGATCCTTCCACTTCCCGTAGTTCAATGATTGTTCAATAGTTTTATGTCACATGACGTTTCCTGTCAGATGTAGTCGAGGTGTTTCATGTCCACAGATCAGTGTGTACCGTCTGCTGAACACCGTGGTGAAGTTCCCCTCAAACAACAAGTTCTAAGGGCAGCAAATCAACGGTCTCCATGGAAACAGTAGAATTTTACTGCTGTATAATCTCTTTCACTGCTGCAAATGCCTTAACGTTTTTCCATTAACTAAGGAAACCTTTTAAGAGATTCTGTGCAACACCCTTAAGTAATTAACCCTTAAGTGGAAATCTTAAGGTGTTTTGTGCAACCGGCCCTTGGAACTAAAGTGCTCTACAGTAGAAACTATGGCCGTCCTTTCCTTCAGAACAAACTGATTCGCTCGTGGAAAAAGTGCAAATAAGAAGCTGAGGAGTTGCATATTATCTGTCAGCGTCTAATAGAGTCAGTGGGCGGTTGATGAGTCGTCACGGTAACGGCAGAGGCACCAGCACATCCACGTAGCTGACAGGGAAGAGTCCCGACCGGCCGCCCAGCGAGCCCTCGTACCAGTTAGCGTCGACCTGACAGGTGAGGACGATGAGGTCGCCCTCGCTGAAGCCCAGCTCGCCCTCGTGGTTCGAGTGGAAGGAGTACATCGCCCGGCAACAGGGCTGATCCAGGACCAGCTTACTGTCCGCTGGGCAAGAGAGAAAGAGAGAGAGAGGGAACCCATTATGTTTAATGAAGGAGAGGCTGTTTATCATCATCTGTTTACTGATAGAAGAGGCAGAGTCATAGAATATGAACCACTGGTGGGAAAGTTTGTCATAATTGCTGTGAAGTTTTGAGTTATGGCTAAAAGGTCGTTTCTGAGGTCACTGTGACCTAAAAACAACCTAAAAACAAAATGGCTGCCGCTCTGACTGTCGCTGGCGCAGAGGAATAAAAATTTTCAGTTTAAAGCTGCAACAATCAATCGATCAACAGGAAATTCATCAGTAACTATTTTGAAAATCCCACATAGTTCCCACACATTTTTTTAAAGCACAAAAGTCAAATGTTTCCTGTTTGCAGCTTCTCAGATCAGAAGATTTGGTGTTTTCTCCGTCACACATGATGATAATCTGTTTGACTGATTCACTGTAAATGACACGAGGAACATGTATGTTCTCACCGTAGCAGGAGACGGGGCTGCCGGGTCGGGATGGCAACACTGTGACCGGCTCTCCTGTCACAAGGTAAAAAGCCACACAGGTAAACACATCATCCAGACTGAGTCATGTGACAGTGAAATCAATAATCAATAGCGACGACTAAAACAACCTGAGGCAGCTGCAGATGTGATCGACGGCTGGTGGAAAAATCCGATGCTGCCGTTGTGTTCGCTTCTGACCCGGATCCTTTTGGGTCTGAACCGTCGCCCCGGCCGGTTGCTGGCAGCGGTCAGCCTGTTGTCGACAGGTACAGTCAGACAGATACAGGTGTAACTTCCTCACTCACACAGGTGCAACAACAGGAGCTGCTTGCACAGAGACAGACTTTGATTACGACTGAGATGTAAATTATACAACAGTTGGTTCGACCAAGTCATCTGACTAGTTTCACGTCACATCCTGTTTTTCCAGAGTCAGAGAAAACATGAACCATGAGTGTGAAATTTTGTCATAATTTCTGTGCTAAAAAGTGTTTTGTGAGGTCACACTGACCTTGACCTTTGACCTTTGGCCACCAATATCTAATTTTACGACTGAACACCTGCAGAATTGATGACGTTCGCTGTGTCGCAGACTCGATACTCTCTAAAGAGATGTGAGCGCTGCTGAACCTGGGGCTCACCTACCTAGCCTGCAGGTTGCCATGGAGACCCTGCAGGATGCGGTGGGCGTTGCGGTGGAAGTCGAGCAGCGCTGCGACCATAGCTGCCAGACGACTGAGCCGGTCCATCTGCAGGAGGACACGTCAGAGAGGGAGACGTAATCATTAATTCATTAATCACTACATGTTAATGACACCATCATGTCTACTCCTCTGTATCTGTAGCCAGGTGTGGGCGTCGGCCCGCTGTAAAAGGTGAGGTTGTCTGCAGACTGAAGTAAGCTCCCAAAAGTTTCAGGTCTCAGGTTGAAACGAAGCACAAAATAAAAAAAAAATAAAAATTGCAAAATTTAGTTTCGGAACAACTCACACTCTCTGAAAACCTTCAAAATTAAAAGTTTAAATTCATCTGAAGGGACGAGTCTTTCACGCCTTATCTTTGTCTGGCCTGAGGGGGGCGCCACCGCACTTCTTTACTCGTCTAATTGTTCTTCAGTCTTCTCACAGCTTCTCAGCTCAGGGGACTGATCTCTTCTTAAAGCTGCTTTTATCAGAAAACTTTTATGAATGTTTGATGTTTGTTTTTCTTTCTGTCAAGCTCTTTTAACCTTGTAAAGAAATGTACTATATAAATAAAGTTTATTATTACTATAATCACACCAAATACATTCTGTCGGGGTTAAACTCACATCGTTCTGCAGCAGGACGAACATGCTCCTCTCCGCCAGCTCTTTGGACGTCATGAACTTGTCCCAGGCCTGTCGCATCTCCTCCACCGGGACTTTCCCTTTTCGTCTCTTCTTGTAGTCGAAGTCCAGCCGACGCCCGTTCAGCTTCTTCAGCTGAAACTGAAAAAAAAGAAGCAGAAAAACACCAACAGCTGCTGAAGATGTTGGAACAAACATTCTTGGTTCAGACTCTGATCGGAGCAGGTTCTGCTTCCTGTTTGATGCAGATGATGATTCCCTGTCGCCTGTGACCGTCACTGTGTGTTCAAGATGTTGGTTTTACAACTTCAAAATACAATTTTCTTCAAATACCTGTTGAATCTCAGAGTCTCAGGTCACAGAAGTCAGACACATGAGTTTTGTTTACATGAGACCAACAGCAGGTCAGCGTTCTCTGTACTGACCCCGTCACCTGCAGTGATGGCGGTGCGCGACCTCTCACCCTGATCTCCTTCAGCTCCGTGTTGTGGAGGTCCTGCAGGGGGTCGATGAAGGTGCGTTTGACGTTGACGTCCAGAGCGTCCCTGGCCTGGCCGACCTGCTGCAGAGCGTCACCCACACCAGACAGAGCTCCACCTGAACAGAAGAAGAACACTTTAACGAACACTGAAACTGTCTGTGAATCCAAAGTGTGTCTCAGTTCTGAGTCAGTACAACTTGAACCTCTTAACGCCACAGCAAATAAAATGATTTTAGGTTTAAAAACTGTTGCTCAGATACACAGAGCACATTTATGATGCGAGTCATGAGTCATTTATGATGTTTGATAGAGAAACAACCAAGACTTCAGGTTATTTCTTAATGGAAAAGCAGACGAGGAGTCACAGCCCGACAGGCAGCTCTGTGAAGCTAAATGAACAGGTGTTTTCAGTCGTCGTTTAAAATGTCCTCTCAGTCCACCCCTCTCATATTTGTTGGTAGTTGTTCCACAGCTCATGTGGGATATGAAACTAAAACCCAGACCATGTTACTCTAGTCTGTAAAACTTCTCCTTATCACAAACGAGGAGTCGGAGTTCCCGTCAGCTGTCGGCAGGTAACACTGAGCTGGCAGCTCTGTAGGGTTTCCAGGTTTTAAATGTGTCAGGCCGCCCGCTGTAACGTGCCTCTGTGCTCCCTGCATGACTGATCCTGGATCAGTTGTGTGTTCCTACCAAATTCAGAAGCAGCTCCAAGCTCCTCGCCGTACAGCAACATACAATCTCCCAGCATGCCCTCTGTCTGCGGGTAACCCGTGCACCTCCCCTGTCCTCGGATCCTGGACATGGTGTTGAGCATGCTCAGTTTGGCTCTGTATGCTGTAAAACACACAGATATCCTCCTCAGCTGAGTGAAGGCCCAGCAGCAGGATCAATACAGAACTGATGGTTTTTAGTTTTATACAGTTTCATAAAAATAAATTTACGATTGTCTGACTTTAATTGTTCCAGTCTTTTCTCTGCTGTTTCTGCATTTAATATCATTTCTTATAACAGTGAAGAGCACTGAATGGATTTACTGTTACTGTTAAACTGTTAATAGTCTGTTAGCCTGTAACTCTGTTAGCCTGTTAGCCTGTAACTCTGTTAGCCTGTAAATCTGTTAGTCTGTAAGTCTGTTAGTCTGTTAGCCTGTAAATCTGTTAGCCTGTAAGTCTGTTAGCCTGTAAATCTGTTAGCCTGTTAGTCTGTAAATATGTTAGTCTGTAAATCTGTTAGCTTGTAAATCTGTTAGCCTGTTAGTCTGTAAATCTGTTAGCCTGTTAGTCTGTAAATCTGTTAGTCTGTAAATCTGTTAGCCTGTAAATCTGTTAGCCTGTTAGTCTGTAAATCTGTTAGCCTGTAAATCTGTTAGCCTGTAAGTCTGTTAGTCTGTTAGCCTGTAAATCTGTTAGCCTGTAAGTCTGTTAGCCTGTTAGTCTGTAAATCTGTTAGCCTGTAAATCTGTTAGCCTGTTAGTCTGTAAATCTGTTAGCCTGTAAATCTGTTAGCCTGTTAGTCTGTAAATCTGTTAGCCTGTAAATCTGTTAGCCTGTAAATCTGTTAGCCTGTAAATCTGTTAGCCTGTAAGTCGGTTAGCCTGTAAATCTGTTAGCCTGTAAATCTGTAAATCTGTTAGTCTGTTAGCCTGTAAATCTGTTATCAAAAAAGTCTTAATTTACCCAGAATTCATTGTACCACAGCCACTGCTCTGTGCACCAGATGAATTTAGACTCGGTCTGTCTGAAGTCTGACTGTGTGTTACATTAAGCCACAGTCGGAGTCTGTGTGTACAGCAGCTCAGGTGTGTGTGGCTGTACCTGGGTTTGGCTGGAGGAACTCTGTGGTTCTGGACAGAAGCTCCAGCAGCAGAGTGTGGATCACTGCAACACTCTGACACACACACAGAGACCAGACGTCAGTTTATCCCTCAGCTCAGAGCAGATCAGAACCACGTCTCAACAGCAGAGTTTTACCTTCTCCATCCTCAGGAAGTCCTCGTCCATCTTGGTTCCCTCAGCTCCCATCAGCTCTCGTTCAGCCAGCTGCCAGGGCGGGAGGAGGAAGGGGACAGGAGGAGGGGTTATTATCAGAGGAAGTAGTTATAAAGTAGTGAAGGAGCAGCTGGAGCAGTCACAGTGGTAGTTTAGTAGAACTGGAAGTGGTGAGTGATAGTAACACAACAAGGCTAATATTAATATTAATATTACAACAATAAATATTAATATTCGGACAAAGATCACGGGTATAATGCCTTACTGTCATTTTTCATTAAAGTCTTTTATGATCTGATGGATCGATATTGA